CTCTGGATGCATGGGAGGTCATCCGACCTCTCTATGGACTGCGGGAATCGCCTTCCATATGGGCGAAGTGGAGAACCAACAGACTGCAGAAAGCGAGGATTCCGTATAAGGGTGGTTTTATTGTACTCAAGCAGTCTACTTCAGACCCTTTGGATGGCTTTCGATGAGAACGACAACTTGAGATCTTCTGGTGGTTTGTTGGCACTGTTGATTACCTATGTCGATGACTTGCTCTACCTTGCTGACCGCCCCCTTGTGAAGGCCCTACATGATTGGGTACAACAAGAGTGGCCTTGCTCTCAACTGGAATGGGCTGATGATGAGAACGGAACGCGGTACCTTGGTATGGAAATCAAGCAGCTGCCTAGTGGAGCCTTCGAGTTGTCACAAGAGGGGTATTTCTCAGGAGCTATGGCATGGAAGAGGCTTTGGAAACGAAGCTGCCGTGTCCCAAGGAATGGCTCAATGAAACTGAGGAGGAGGACATGGAGAACTTCTCTGTGGAGGAGCTCAAGGCTGCACAGCGTATCGTTGGCGAGCATTTATGGCTGACGATGAGGTGCCGGCCTGATCTACAGTACCCTGTGATGTACATGGCTTCCCGGGTAAGCAAGCAGCCCAACAAGGTGATGCAAGTCGGCCGTCGGCTGTTGAGCTACTTGAAGGCTACGCAGTCCATGAAGCTTGTGATGGGAGTTGATTGTGAGGAAGCCAAGAGCCCCAGCAGTACAACAGAAAGCATCGCAGCAGACAAAGAAGAGCAGCACAGCAGCACAACCACACAACATACACCGCGCGCGTGCACAGAACGTCTTCTTGCTTATTCCGACGCGAGTTTTTCACCGTTTGGGGACAAGTCCTTTGGGGCGTGCACTGTGATGTATCACGGGTCGCCGATTTCTTGGAAAGCCTCTAAGCAAGCTTTTGTTACATTGTCGGTCATGGAAGCAGAGTTGTATGAAGCTTCAAATGCAGTTGTTCTGGCAGAGAATGTTGGGAGCATTTTGGACGAGATCAGAGGCCAAAGAACGGAGAAGGTTCTTCGAGTCGACAATTCGAGCGCTCTCACCATGATTCAGGGCGGAGCAGGTTCTTGGCGTACGCGCCACCTGAAGGTGAGGAGTGCAAAGATCCGTTCAATGGTTGAGGATGGTGACTTGATTGCTGAACATGTTGTTGGCGAAGAACAGGTGGCTGATCTGGCTACGAAGATGCATCCCAAAGTGCGTTTGTGGGAATTGTTGGTGTTATGGGGCTTCAGACATCTTCCTGGAGAGGCTATGCAGGCGTTGTCGGCAAAGGGTGTGTATTTGTCGATGTTGATGCTGGCACTAATGGTGCAGACAGCGAGAGCGGATGAGACTGGGGAACAGAGCAGACTTCAGTCAGTGGGCGCCGATGAGCTGTTGCTAGTTACAGTGCTGGTTTGTGTATCTGCAGTTGCCTTTTGGGAGGCCATGAAGTGTGCTTGCCGCTATTTGAGAGACTGCATGAAGGAATCACCAAAACAGAAGAGGTTGAGGAAGCTTCGTGAGGCTGCCAAGACCGCTGCCGAGGAGGAGGTTGATCGAGCTTTCTTGACTCGGCATGCAGAGGAGGATCAAGATGGTGGGGCGAGGTCCAGCAACGACGTGATACCACCACCACCGGAGCCTCACCCTGTTGTTCGTGCTCGTGCGACTAAGAGAATTATTGAAGCACCGCCACCGCCGCCACCGATTGAAGCTGAGTATGAGGTTTTTCCAGAGAGAGGATTTTACAAGACGAATTCCACGAGATCAAAACTTCATACGGATCCGCACTGTCATGGTTTGAGGAATTCTGGTGATGTGTATGCTGTTGAGTATTGCTCATATTGCCAACGACAAACCCCGGTGTATGTGAAACGGAGTAGATCCTTGCCTACAAGATCTTACTGAGGCAGTGTGATAGGAACCTCCACATGTACGCGTTGGGAATGCATGACTTTAGGCTGTGGAGCAGCCTTGGCACTACGACCCTTGAGCTTTTGTTTCAGAGTAATCGAAGGGCGCGGCCCATCGATTAAGGAGGAGTGTTGATTCCGATGTGCTTCACATTGCCTCCGGCTCTGTATGATCAGTCTTGTATGCTGGTCGAGTGATGTTCCGCATGTGTAAGATTGCAGTCGCATGTTCGGCTTGGAAGACAGTGCATGCTTTAAGCAAATGCAGGTCCCAGGTCCTAACGTATGCTTGACGCTTTCTTGTGAGAAAAACAATTCGCCTCGCCGGTTGCCATGGAGTGCCCTGTCTGAACAAGTTGATATGGCTGTAAACCCGGAATCGAGTTCCAGAGATCTTCAAAGACCTAGGACCCATGAATCTACTTTCTCCTGCGTCCCCAGTTAAACCCCAAAAAAAGAACCTCATACTGCCACTAGTCATTCCCATAGTATAACTAATATGGACCCTCACACTGCAACTGATTTATAGGCCACACAGGGCACCAGTGACCCTGCAGCTGCAGTCAAGCATCCACAGCGGGACGAATTACGTCAGGGAAAGCAGAAGTCTGAAACAAAGCTGTGAAAACAGTGCCTAACACAGCCAAACAGATCCCCTCACCGGCCATGTCACGCAACCGATGCTGGCTCATGTCGCTCGGCAATCTTACACCGCGCGAGTGACCTTGCCAGTACAGCAATTCCAGCGGTAGGACCAGTCCTTGCCTGCCGAAGGAGTAGATCCTCGAGGCAGTTGTAAGGCAATGGCTGCTCCTGTCTGTTGTGTAGGGTCTGCGAGCAGGGTTCTGTGAAATGTAAACGTACACGTCTCGCAAACGATCAGAGAGTAGATTTGCAGCTTGGTGGGGCGGCAACGACAGCAAACTGCGACACTGAGCCACGCCAAGCTTTGCAAGGGCCACAAGGTCCAAAATCTCTCGAACACGAGGCGTCGCATGAAGACCTCTATACTCCACAGGCAAAGACGACCAAGGACAAAAATCCTTGGGTGCACCGAGCTGCTTCCTCCAAGCCTCTGCTTCCACTGCCCACTGTGGCAGCTTTCCCGTTCTCGGCTCCGGTGTGTCCTGCGAGGGTTTGGCAAGACGTGCGACGGGCAGGGAAAGGCAAGGAGGCATAGGGAGAGGCGGGAGACTCGAAAGGGGAGGGAGAGGAGGTAAGGAGGCCAGCATCATGAGCATGAGTGGGTGTGCTTACCACCCCGCGGACGCGCGCATTTTTTTTGGTAGGAGCACGAGACGAGCAAGATGTGCATCAGCCGGTTTTGTGGGGCGTCGCGACACTCCAAACCTTTTCCTTTTCCGGAAGAAAAAAGGACAAATGCCTCCGGCCACGAGAACGGAGGGATGGAAGGATGCAAAGGCTGACGCAAACACGCAACGGACCGGAAAAGGGAAGGCAAAAGAAATGCAAAGACAGAGGCAAAAAAAACGCAAAGAAAATGCAAAATCCTGGCCTCCAGGCCTGCCAAGCTTCCCAGAGTGAAAAATGCAAAACACACTGTGTTTTTGCATTTTTTTGTATTTTTTTTGCCTCCATCTTTGCATTTCTTTTGCCTTCCCTTTTCCGCTCCGTTGCGTGTTTGCGTCAGCCTTTGCACCCCCCTGTTCCCCCCCCCCCTCCCCGCCCTTTGAAACCCTGACCTGTTCAGACCTACTCAAATTCAATGCCCTCCACGCCTCCATCACGCGTGCGCGCGCGGAGTCTGAAACTGTCTTTGACCACCCCACCCGCCACACACCTACCCCGACACTGCCGCGGCTAGGCTAGGCTACGTGACGTTTAAATAATCACTCCATGGAAGGAAGGAATGAAGGTCGCGGCAACGAAACTCTTAGTTTTCTCTGACGCAGAAAACTGGACCTGAACAAACTGACTCCTTGTTCAATTGTCAAAGCTGGTTATGACTGTTTACGAAGTACGTCAACAGGCACACAACACTACCCTGTGTCAACTGCTTTGTTTTGGGAGGCACACCTGACGTGTGCAGTCAGACTCTCTGGCTGATTCTGTACAGGTTTGGGTTCATGTAATCCAGACATGCCTCTACGCCCGACGCTCCGGGCTTCATTGCGCTGGCTTCCTCTTTGTTCCATTGCACTACGGACGAGTGTGTTCTCATCTCCGCCATCTACGCGAAAGATTCCTATGTCAAGTAACTTCTATGCAATGAGGTGGTCACCGGTGCTACATGCTATTACGCAGTCCTTGCCACGAAACGTGGCAGACAAAGCCTCCAGGTGCTGCAAGTAGGTCGGGCTCTGGTCCGGCAACATCAGCTCCCGCAACTCAACAGGCTGTTGCCGCTGTAGTTGCTCCAGAAGGCACTGGGCGAGCGATGAAACATCATGAGGATGCAGTATGAAGGGTCTGTGGGGCTTGCGCCTAAACGTGACACTGGACTCCAGCTAACTCTACGTCTAACTCCCTGGTGCATGGCATTGCCTAGTGCCAACGCTTATCCTGATGCGGGGTCCTTGCCTTTGTGGAGCCTTGCTACACAGAATTTTGCGGCCTAGAAGGGGCCTACACAACAGTGCGAATCACGCTGCAGCACCCGGTACTAGGAAACAGCTCCCTTGCTCCTGCACTAGATATCATACAACGCCGGACAAAGCGGAAATCCAAGGGATCGTAAAACTCACACTTGCCACGAGTCGCGACGCTACTCAAAAGCTACTCCGAGGGTATAGTCTCCTCAACCAAACTTGGACGCCTGCCAAACTACCAAACATAAATCTCCAGGCTGACCCCCCCCTACCCTGGGCCGGGTAGCTTCCAAGCAGCTCTTGAAAGCCTTGACATCCTTCTTCTCGAATATGTCCCGCCGGAAAAAGACAATGAAGAGCCTGCCACCAATCCAAGAAACCGCACAGAACTAGCAAGACTCTACCAGAGTTACGTACTAGAGCAGGCATTACCAGTCACGGCTAGCTACCAGCTACCAAAGCCGCGGGGATACTGCAGGGATGCTTTTCTGCAGCCACTGGCAAGCGTCCCCTTGTCTCAAGCAGTCTTACCGGATGCACTCCGGCTCGTCGGGCTCGTTGTCGCGAGGGCGACGCTCGGCTCGCATCGCAAAGGCTCCGCCGTTTGGCAAACCCAGAAAGTATTCTCTGGCAGCCTGCCGCTCCTCCAAGCTGGGGACACAGTCATGGATGTGTTTTCGCGCATCAGAGAACTCTGCTTCATTCTGCTTTTGGAGCCAGCTGACAAGACGACCAATAGGTCTGCCCTGGCCTCGAAAATTCCTTGTCTGGAAATCGCTTGATAATGTGGACCTCGTGATACGACAGTCCGGGTGCCTCCTGCATACAGCCGTCAGTCTGTTCGCATGTGGGAAATACCGCACAGACCCCAGCCCCGGCACATCGAACTGTTCTCCGGCTATTGGATCAGACGCAGGGGGAGCACGAGAACGAGGTGCTGCAGCTTCCGGGGGTTCAGCCGGCTCGGCCTCTTCAGCAGGAAGCCTGTCAGCAGGCTGCGCAGCCTCGGGATTCAAAGCTTCTTCAACATCTTGCCACTCATCGCCCTCTTCAACCTCCTCCAGCTCGTTCAAGACATCCGAGCCCTGCGATGAGGAACTCTCATCCGCTTCTTCCTCGTACAGCGGTTCCTGTGGCTGCTCTTCGACGTCGGCAGCCACTTCGGAAGAGTCCGGAGCAGGAGCTGATGCAGCTGCGCGGTGATGTGCACGCGGCTTCTCGGCTGGAGCTTGCCTCCGTGCTGGATCATCGCCACCGCTCCAGACGCCAAAGAGAGGCACGTCGCGTAACAGACGCACGGGCACTGCGTAAGGAAAAAGATCGTGACTGAGCCAATCCTGGTCCAACTCGGAAATCTCGTGCAGCTGCACCCGCCAAGCTTCATCAAAATCCAGCTTAGCCTGAATAAACTGCACATCCGAGAACACATCCATTGCGGATCCACACTGCCGCGCTGTCTGGCTGGCCAACTGCAAGACACCCTGGCGTTGGAAAGGCTGCGCATCAGCCAACTCAGATGCTTCGTGCAGCTGCTGCCCTGCGAAGTGCAAGGTTGTGAGATTGATGTAAGCAATGTGAAAAAACAATACTTCTTCCTTCTCAGCGGAAGACCAAGCCAACACCAGCCGACGTTGATCCACAAGCCCGCGCCTGTGGCTGCCCTTCGGGCACAGCTGCTTGAGCTTCTTGCGAAGCCTTGTGCAAAGCTGCCAGGATTGAGGACCTTTCTCTGGATTGCCGGACTGGCACACACATATGCCAGCTTGCAAGCACACAGATTTGCGATGCATGCGCACCACACGTGGGTCTATGGGCGGCTGCATGTCATGCAGGTAAATGCTACACCGCTTCTTCCATTGCTCCGCAAGCTGCTGGTTGGTCCCAAGCTTGCGCCTGGTGCTCAAGTTCCCCTTGCCCAAGCTTGCCTGCATACAGAAGCAGCTGACTGAGTGGTTGGGTACATGTGTCTTATAAACTTAAGACCGGGTGTATGAGCAGGGATAACATCCGAAAGTATTGGGGTCTGCGAGGTGTCTGCTTCATACGAAGAACTGTTTACACATCACATGTCTCCTGCGCGTTTCAAGGTGTTGGCGGCACGGGAGGACAGGGAACCGTTGTCTGCCACTGGCAAAGCAACCGTGCACACGGAGAGTATGGCTTTGCAGAATACACAACAGAGCTCCTACGTAAGGTTCTGCAACCGAATACCGTTTGGTTCTGCTACTGGCCTGCGACTGCTAAGGCTAAGGCTAAGACTGCGAAGAGAGGAGATACAGGGACCAGGACCAGGAAAGCTTCTGAAGAAATCTAGCAAGAACCATAAAAACAGGAAACAATGATTATCGCTGTGCCGCAACACAACCAGAGCCTCCACCAAGCGTGCTATCGGGGGTGTCCATGTCAACCCCGTGATGCTGACACCACGCTCGGAGAGTCCGCGAGACTGCGTCCTTGAAAAGGTATCCCTGGAAAAACTTTGCTGCAGAGCGTTCTGTCCCTCAAACACCGCAAGGAGAGGAGCGCCAGCTGGAAGATCTTGCTGAAAGCTTTCTATCTCCAAGACTTCCGCCTCGTTGAGACCATCGTTGCCGAGGATACCGGGAGCAGTGATCTGCGCAATGTGCTGCTCCAGCTCCTCCTCGAAACTCGGACCGCTGTAGGGCACGACCTGGTTGGGACGTTCCACGTCCGGCAGAACGATAGCCCCTCCTGGCAGAATCTCCCCCGCCCGAGCTGGCGGAGGCAAGCTACGGAGGCGTTGGCGTTGCTGTCGGCGCCGTGAGTCCCCAAACGAGGGAAACCCAGCTTGGTGAGCTGCTGTTCCGGCTGCTCCTGCGTCTTTGTATCGCTGCTTTTCGTGATCAGCGAGTGCATGGTACTGCTCTGACAAGGCAGTGGTGCTGGAGAACTGGCGGCCGGCAGACTGGTCTGAAACGAATGCTCGCCACGGACCGCCGCCGCCGCGCGGTTGCTTTGGTTTCTCTGCAGTCTTCTCCGGTGGTGCACTGGCCGGTGGCGCATTGGCATAGCGCTGCGTTGCAAATTTGGATCCAACAGCTTCCAGATTTGGCACCCAACCTCTGCTTCTCAAGAGGGTGAATTCTCGAGAACTGGCATGTCGTGACTCGATGGTGCTTATGTCCACGCAGTAAGCGGCCGCCAGCGCAGTCAGAACAGCTTCAAAGTCGCTGCTCTCCAAGTCTGCATCGCTGGGGAAGTGCTGCCGCAGGAGCGAGAAGAGACTGTCATGCATGCAGGGTGGAAATGACGTGAGCTTCCGGAGAGCTTCCTGTCGACCTGCAGCATCCTTCTGCAACACACCGAACATGCAGTACGGCAGGTTCTGGCGGGGCGTGCGAATCAAGACATGCATAGCAGACACTGCAGCTGAGCCCAAGCGGAAGCGCAGGGAAGCCAACGCTGCAGTCACCTCTCCAGTTGGGATCGCTCGCATGGGCTTGTGGAGAAGGTCTTTCAAAGCTCGCATGGCCGCTTGAACTTCTGCACCTCGGGCGGCAGACAACATGATGTAGTCGCGGTCCTCGTTCCGGGCAACCTGCAGCAACTGTGCCTCCTCCCAACGCCTGCTGCCCAGTGTCAAGAAATGCCGCATCAGCCCGAGCATGACAGATAGCATTCCCTTCAGCAAAAGCAAGCGATTCCCAGGTCTCGTGCCGTACCAGGAGCGTACATCTTGCTTCTACTTCCGATTGAACTCTGCCCACTGCTGTCGGTCTGGGCCGTCTCCGTCCTCTGCAGCAGCATGCTGCACGTCTGCTTGAGCTGCTTGGGCTGCTTGGGGTTCCGCAGCAGAGCCGGCGGAGGAAACAGGGGCCACGTGCACCTCGGCTTCCAACGCTGCCGCCCAGCCCTGCGGCACCGGGCCTCGTGCCTCGTCATCGTCAGCTTTTGGCAGATTCGTTGGGGGACCCACAAACTTCTCCATACAGCGGCTGAAGAGACCGTGGTGGCATTCTAGCAGGGCGATGGCATCTATGGCGGAGTCATATCCCACCCAGGATTTGCGGCTATACACAGGGATCTTGGCCGGCAGCAAAGCCCAAACCACGTACGTCTTGAAATATGCTGCTGTCTCTGCCTGGTTGCGGCAGCAGCCATAGACACAGTGGTGACGGATTGTTCCGTCACTCAGATCACAGTTCCTTAGAAAACAAATGCCCGCTAGCTCTAGACTCCAGACTTGCTTGTATGCACGCAAAACTGAAGCACGTTGACGGAATGAGTCTGCCAGTAGCACGGGGCGGACGGCATAAGCCATTGTTGAGTGCGTCCTGCTAGCTCTATCTGCGAGCTTCGCTAGCCAGCTATCTGTGTGTGCTGCCCCTAGTAACACTTTATCTTATGCAGCCGCAGCCGTTGTATTCAAAAATTTTGTCGTTTCCTCGACCCGGGAGGTGTGTGTGTGTGTGTGTGTGTGTGTGTGCGCGTTTGTGTGTCTGTGCATGTAAGTGTGCGTGTCTCTCTCTCTCTCTCTCTCTCTCTGTGTCTCGCTCTCTGTCTCCCCCCCCTCTCTGTATCTCTCTCCCTCTCTCTCAAACCTCGTTTCTTTCCTGCATTCTGCCTCTTGTCTCTCTCTCTCTCTCTCTCTCTCTCTCTCTCTTTCCCTGCCCCCTCTCTCTCTCTCTCTCTCTCTCTGTCTCTGTTTCTCTCCCTCTGCCTGTCTCTATCTCCCTTCTCTGAATACGTAAAGACCAGGTTTGCAGTCGGTTTAGAATTTCTGTCTCTGCCCCCTGCTGACAGCTAAACCGCTGAAGGCTCTGTCTCTCTCTCTCTCTCTCTCTCTCTCTCTCTCTCTCTCTCTCTCTTTCTCTCTTTCTCTCTCTCTCTCTCTCTGTGTGTGTGTGTGTGTCTCCCTGTCGCTCTCGCTCTCTGTGACGCTCTCCCTGGCACTCTCCCTGTTAGAGAAGAAAGAACTTCTGATCCTAGGCAACGCCGCCGCTGCTGTCTCGTTGTCTGAAAGCAACTCGTGATGCTGGTGTCATCTGACACAGAGGACATGCTACGGCTACGGTGCCACACAAAAGCATTCACTTCCACTACAGCAATCCGCATCCGCTGAAAACTCGCCCTAGCTGCCCCTAGCTAAAACGGCTGACATCGTCCGCCTACACAGCACAATAAGTGAGGATCTCTATTCAATGCGATTGTGCCACACATGACAACCCATCTCTCCGGAAGCACTTGCTGCACTTGCTCCAACAGGCCAAGGATCAGGAACCGCCGCAGGATGAACTTGCGGATGCTGTTCTGCTTGCGCAAAGCACGCGTCGGGGCATCCGCCGGAAGCAAAAGCTCTAGCATGTGCTCACGCTGTTGGGAGACGGGCGGGCTCGAGTACTCCACCTCCAGCTCCTCCATGAAGATGCGCGACAGGATCTCGCGTAATTTGCGAGTAGATCCCAAGGAGCCGCATGCCAGACCAGTGCTAAGGACACCGCTGACATCAGCAGCTTGAAGAAGCACTGCCGAGCCCGTAGCCGTGGACAGACGATGGACATCACAAGGCATGTGAGAGAAGCGGAACGCCGGCATGAAATCGCTCTCAGTCAAGCCCGCCTCGGCTCGAGCATTCGCGCCGAAGCGGTCCGTTGTAGAAACACGAAGCTTGATTTCAAAGGACGACCAGATTCTTGACATCTCCGGCGATGCTTGCACCACATCCATCAAGCAGCGGCGGGTGTTCTCTCCTGTGCAGCGGTCAACTGCCATAAGCCAAGTGGGCAATTCGCCAAACACCCAGTAATACTGTTTTGACTGCAGATCTTGCAATAGCATCCCAGTACAATACTCGCACTGGATGATCTTCGACTGCACGGAGGTTTCAACCAGCTCTCGCATTCCTGCGCTGCCCTTGGCAACGAGGCCGGCTCCTTGTTTCTGCAGTCAGCACTTCGGTAACCGAAGACACTTCGGCCAGCGCAGAGGTCGCGTCACGGCGTGGCACGACCACGGTCCCATGCTTGTCAGTGGTAAGCACTCGAACCTTTGACGGGGTTTCATCATAGCGAAAACGCATAACGTACATCAGAGGCCGTAGCCGAGGTCGAGTGCCTGGTGGCTGCAAAGCCGGATCATACAAAGGCTGCATAGCCGAGTACATCGACGACCAAAGCCAGCTTCCAAGCTCCACCACAGCAGCACCAACAGAACGGGCTTTAGAGGCCACCGTCGAAGGGGCCTCTGAGAACAAGCTGGAAAGGGCCTTCCAAGGCGTCGTGAGCAAGCGGCCCCGCAAGTGAGCACGCAGCACACCAGCCTCGTCCTCCTGTGTTTGCTGCGATGATTCAGCAGCAGCCGCCAGCAAGTTTAGCTGAACCAGGGAGCCAACAGATTGCATATGCTGCAAAGCACCAAATGCTTGAATCTCCCCAGACTGCACTGCTGCTCTCTTGTCTGCTGTGGAGGACTTTGCAGCGCGCTTCTCCTGCAGAACTTTCCGGGCCTTCTCAATCGGGCTCAAGTTGGCCTCAGGGCCTCATCATCCGATGCTTCTGCTTCGGCTTCGGTGTGCTGCTCAACCTTGCGCTTCCGAAACTCTCGCATCATATTGCTGCCCACCGGTCTCCCGCGTCCCCGACCACGCAAAGGCGCCGAACGGGAACGGGCAGAAGCAGAACTTGTAGCTTTGCCAGCAAGCCCTGCAGCATCTTCCACGCAGGACGCAGCGGAGGGCTGGGAGGCTGCGGACTCTTGCAACTCCGAGTCCAGTGCATCCAGCCAGCCAGACGGCATACGTTTCACTCCAAGCCGGGAGCTAGCTGACAGGTAGTACTCCCTTGCTGCTCTCCGAAGGCACGCCAGGCAGGTACACGGCAGCAGGGCCTCGTGACGTGGAACGGACCAGCCATGTCACGGCAACCGTGAGCGACAGCATGAAGCCCTCATGTAAGTACGACACAAGCCGTAGGCACTCATTCTTGCACTGACTGCCATTTTTCTTGCGACTGCTAAGACTCAAGCCTCCTAAACATCTTCTGAATGGCAAGCTGCGAGTACATCCGTCACAAAGTTAGAAAGGAGCCCACATCGCAAGCTTCCTGGGTTCAACACAGACCACACATGTCAGCATAGCATCGATCGCCCCTGTGCCCAACCACGGGCAAATCGCTCTGGGATGACAATGCAAACCTCCAAGCCCTTGCAAAGCCTTGCTGGCCTTACGTAGTTGCACGACCGACCTACGCTACACTACACACACATGTGGTCCAGGGTTTGCCCAACCCTGCCCCAACCAACTACTTATATTAAAATGTCCATGTCTCACAGAGTGCGGAAGCCCCTGTTGCCGACACAAATGGGCTCGAGAACAATAAACAGTCTTAAACACTGCACACGAAAACAGCATTGCCTGGGGGCCTAGAGTCCTAGAGAGATGGTTCCTATTCCCGGTATACCCTCTTCACAGCCACACACTGAACAAGCTAATTACTGCTTTCATATAAAATGGACATGCGTGGAGCCCCGTTGAAAAAACACGCTTCGCTCTCACTCGGGACCTAAGACTCGAAAGCCCCTCCTAGACCCTACGAGCCACAACTTAGCGGGAGCCTCGGCCGCGTAATTCGAAGGAAGACCTTGGCGTCCAACAGGTACTGGACGAAGAAGTAGCCGCCGTGTCGCCATGAACAGCGACCCATGTGGTCCAGCAACCTCCACAACAGACCACATGCAACCATCCCCCCACTATCTATCAGTAGGACCACCAGGACACTGGAAGCTATCACCCGGACAGGAACACTGGGAATGCGGTATGACATGGTCCAGACGCCCTGTGCTGCATACACAGAAGCCTACAATCCATCTGGAGACCACAAGATGTCTGAGAGCTCTGCACTGGCCCCACATAAGAACACCAAAAAACAACTTTAGATTACATGCAACACCGTGGCCCTCAGTACATGGACAGATGCTACATGCATGACCTAAATTTCCGCCACGGCAACTGCTGCAGTGCTGCACAAGCTTCCAGGAAAGAACTCCTACGCTACCCAGACTCTATTTAACGGAATTTAACGAGCCAGCTAACTTGCCAGGACCTCAAGATGTCACCCGGCATACATACATAAACCCGGCAAAGCCATCAGCGCACAGGCCCACGATGACCACACGCGAATACGGAATTACATGAACTATTGCCCGCATGCCTGCTATGGCCTCCACCTCTAACCCCACAGCAAAATTGTACTCCCAGAATAGACAAGCGAAAGCACTGCTGGCCCCACCTATCCAGCGGAGTCCCGGGAGCTCCGGAATGGAAAGGCATGTTGAAGCCCTTCACTTGCTCCAGCACTCCAACCTTTGGTTCATACTTCTGGTAAATAGCAACTACCGAAGACATGGTCGTCTCAAAGTCCGGGTGGGACTTTACAGCATCTTCACTGAAACGCTTGGTGCGCTGAACCGAGAAAGGGTCGCATGGGCTTCCCGTCACCAGTAAGTCAACTGTGCCATGCTCTGCCACTGCAGCACAACTCTTAGCTTCAGGGTGCAGGCAACATGCGCTGTCCCGAAGCTGGTCTTCAATCCTCTCATGCACATGCTTGAAAAGGCCTCTGTGGTTGCCCAAAAAAAAAGTTGCGGTAGTCCGTGTTCGGCTCTGAGGCG